TAAACAAATAATTGGAGCCTAACTCTAAGCACGGACGAATACTGAGGATTTGCCAGAAAAAAAAAAGAGAAATCGAAACCTGTTCTTAAAAAAACTCATCCCTCGCTAATGATGACTGTAGTATGTCAAGAAGTAAGAACTGCTCCCAGCTTATTTTTCCGAGCATTTCTCGGAAGAGGTGGTCAGTGCGAGATATGCCGATAAGAGGCTATTTGACAGTTGGACAATTTTCGCTACAAGTTTTTCCTAAACGGTGAAATATTGAAGGGATTTTAACTTTCGTCACATTTGATGTATAAGTAAGCTTGTTAAAACCAAATCAGCAAAGGACAAATACATAAAAATAAGAAAAAAAAAACCTCATATTGGCAGAGAGTTAAAAATGCTGCAGTGCGGTGCACTGGTAGAATAACATTCGTAGATCGGCCGTTTTCTGAATATCTAAAAAATACGTAGATATGAACGAATTCATAATTCAATTTCAATGAGAACGGGGCAATAGTACGCCGCCAGCAATAGCTGGTAGAGAAGGTGTAGGTGTACCCTTGCCCCTCCCCCAAAATCGTGGGGATATTTTAAATTCAAATCGAGACTTTTGTCTTTTTTGAAAAATTTAACTCTTAGCTTTTTTGGTCCCCACGACAACAATTTCCCCCATTATTAATGAGGCCATTTCCATAAAATTTCAACTTCCTAGCTTTACTGGTTCATGTGATGAAAGTGTAGGACAAAAAACACACACACCCACACACCTACCCACACACACACCCACCCACACACACACATACATATACAATCGCACTGACAGGGACGTAACAGTACGCATTTTACGCAACTGTTTCAGCATAAAACGCACAAAAAAAGTAAACCCGGAAAACACGATGACAACGACGGAGCCAACTGGCAATAGCATAACGCTGCGGTCACAGAACACTAAACAATAATGCCGAACTAGTCCCATTTCTAGCCATATCACTTCTAGATCACGAAGAGGACTTGAGTCTTAAGATGGGACATTTGCATATCACAAAGAAGCGCACAGTAGCTAGGACAAGGAGAAGGGGATCGGTCGGCTTCTTTTCTCTTTTATATGTGCCATTTGTTCCTTTTGCATGAAAATAATACTTACTCGACAAGATCGGCAAAGAAGTGGGCAATTGCATCGAAAAGAGCACCATATCGTTTAATCACTTTTTCAAATGTAAAAAGATATTCGTCCTCCAACTGCGCACCCTGCTGAAAAATGTACTCTTTATGCGAGTAGGGGAAAAAAATCAAAAAAAAAAGCTAGAATTTACTGATACCTTGATTTATTTATACCCAATTTACTGACACCTAGATCAAGGAGATGAAGACAAAAATGAAATGAACAAAAACTAGTAACTACGCAAAACATGAAACTTTCCCATCCACCTACGAATTACTCAAACAAACTAACGGCGAACCTCGTTTGAGTCCACAAAACGATCGATGACTGAGAGATCTTCAAAATACGAGAAGTCCACAAGAAATGGTTTGAAGCGGCTGCTCGATGGGTTTTCAAAATCATCCGGCACACAATCAGCCAAGCGACATATTTCAGCAAGAATCGCATAACCCGTTTCAACGAGCTCCTTTAAAAAATTGGTTCCGAACACATATCCGGAACTGCTCATCCCTGTAACTTAAACAGCTAACATAACCAAATTTTGCAAAAAAAAAATAACAGCTTTTTGAGAGTGAAAATCGATGATTTGGCGGCGAAAATTTTCAAAACACGTTGGTTTGAACCAGAACTTGAAACAACAAATACATTTAACGAAACTTTTATTATGAGAAAAACTTATTATTATATCATTTCGTTAACAAATATCAGTGACAGAAAAGATTTCAGACACCGGTTTCCAGTCAAAACACTGAAAATATTTTTGAAAAACAAAAAAAAAATCAAAAATCGATGCATCGTCCTTTCCTCTCCCAATCACCATAACGTGTTGGCTCAGGACCAGCTGGACCACCAATTTCACCAGTCAGCGGATTTACACCTAAATTTGACACTTCATAAGCAATCATCACAGTTTTTGCATTACCTCAGCAAAACCTTAAAAATGTTGCTAAAAACTATCGTATTAATTTCCTCCTTTTCATAACTAAATTCAAAGAAATCTGCTAAAGACAAGACGCAGATTTTGAGACCCGGGATCGATGAATACGAATTAAGAATTACATCCTGAGAATGAAATGCATGAAACTTTCAAATTTTTAGAACTTTCTTTTCATAGTTTTCAATGAACTTTCAAACTTTCCCTAAGGCAAGAACACTTTTTTAGGCATCGAAATAAACATATAAGTCAAATTATTCAGACATCCAAAAATTTTCCTCTGCTTTCTAAAAACTTGCCCGAGGCGTAATAATGCCCAGCAATACCATACAAAAGAGTTAGAACATCTAACCGCTCGAAGAATCTTCGTATTTGCGCCATATGAAAGCAGGATTTGTATGCACAAGAACCTTTCTGTATCATGGAGAGCAGCACAAATCGTCTCCTAGTTAACAGGGGAAAAAAGATACCTCCAGGATGTCTCGGAAGTGCCGGATCCTCGTATGGCTTCCGATCTTCTTCCTCTTCCCCGTAACGGTCCAATTTACCTTTTGGTGTTTTTTTCTTCAGAATTTCAATTTCCTTTTCACTCAGCGAACCCTTGTTGGCAACAGCAAAAAAGTACTGTTGACTGCAGCACTGCAGCAGTTGCGGAGTGCGATATCGAACAAGACGAAACATCTGGAAAATGACAGGCATTAAAAGAAAGAGACAGAATCAGCGAAAAAAGGGAGAGGGGCTTTCGTTCAGGAAATATACAACGACGCATTAAAATCATGGCGCAGTTTATTTACAACTTCATTTTATGCTTTATACACAACTATTTCACTCAAAAACCAATGCAAAACAGAAGCAGTGAGCAATGACGCGCCGTGAAATACCGCAAAAATGAAGTAGAAATATGAAATTAACACAAAAAATAATACAAGCAAATAATGAGTATCCAAGCTGTCATAATTAACATTATGAAGCAAGCACTCCTCACCGGAAAATTCAGACAACCCCAAACATCTTCAATTCTAGAAAAAAAATGAACTGAGAGGAGCAGCTTGGTACAATACAAACACAGCAAGGAAAACAAACAGGCCAAAGCATAGGCGAATCCAAGAAAGAAGAGAGAGAGAGGGGGGGGGGGCGAAGGGT